ACACAGGAATTGAAAAACATAGTTACAGACAAAATAAATGTCACCAAAACAGAAGCAGAAATCTCAACTGTATTTCAAGCACGACATTAAGAAATTAGTGCTAGGTGTTTTTCCACTTTGCTGGGAAGCTTTTTTTTTCCCAGGAGTGAAGAACCTGCCTGTCAGAAACACCCAGAATTTTAAGATCTGTAAAGCCCCATGTCCCGGTAAATACTGACATCTTCTTTCCATGCTACTGTTTTGGTATAACTGCCAGAACTGATGCCAGTTGTGGAAGACCAGAATGTGGCATTTTGTTTGTGGCTGCTGCTCAGCCCTCTGAAAGCACTCTGGGCCCAGAGAAGAGCATTCTCTGTACTCTGTTACTGGTGCCAGTGGGGAGCTTATGGGCTCCTACCTGCTCATAGGCATTGAACTGTGAGGAAACCAAAGAAATCATGGCATCCCCGTGCTTTGTGTATAAATATGAAAGCTCAGAGGATGAACATGCTTGGGGGACAGTGGTTGCCAAAACTACCACTGACTACAAGAAAGGAATCGCATTAAGGCAGGGTAAATGTTCCAGACACACATTAGATGATCCTGGTTTCCCTCTCTACTCTCTCCTTTGATATAAACCAAAACCAAACAGATATTCACACCTGAACATGAGCTGACATGACATTCAACAGTTCTGCATTAAGGCTGTAACAGTTAAACTGACCATTCAGAAACTTGCTCAGCTCTTAAACAAGTTGATGAGGCTCTGATCAGAGGTGCTCTCAAGAGCACATTTGCTGTAACTTTCTCTCCAACTGCCTTGGTGGTCACATAATTCAGAAAAATATGAATAGTGGGTTTTTTGCCCGTGAACATAATTAGTAGACATATATCCACATTTGATCAGCATCCAACTCTAAAAAATTTATGTCCTCTCTACTATAAAGACTATTTATTTAACGAATCAGCTTCTGAGCACTTTGCAATTTCTACTGGTGACAATCATTGGCTAAAAGCAGTGTATTTCTGAACTTTCAAGTGCACAGAATGCAGAAATCTGATTGTGTACTATTAGCCCCCCCAATTCTAGCTTCTAATGAAAATGGGATTTGTCAGGGATTTTCAGTGACATTTTCATAGTTTGTGAAATATTATGAAAAATAGCTGTTAAAATTGGTGTCAAAACTTTTTTTTTTTTTTGCAGATATGAAAAACGTTGATATTAAAACCAGTAAAAGTATTGCAACTATTAACTCTGAAAGGATTTCAAGGCAAAATCTAATACATAAAGAACACATACTCATGCCTGGTATCACATACAGTATCTGACATATATGAATGGCACAGTCCAAATTTCTCATTCCCTAATTGCTCTTAAATACTTTCCAAGTCAATTGTTCTTACTGTGCTCTGCAGCTGACAGTTCTTACAGTGTTCCACACCATGGAAATGTGACATCTACTGGCAAATGAACGTAACTAGAGCAGTTGGGTATAGAGCTAGGAAAAGTGGAACCAGAATCTTAGTAAGCTTTGAGTTGGAAGGGACCTTAAAGATCATTATTTCTGTCATTTATATTAGTTTACAGAGTTTTGTGGTAACCTGGTAAAAAAAAAAAAATGTTCAAGAACAGTCAGAGTTGAGTTCCGTTGTCAATAGGTAGTTGCACACTTAAGACCAGTTTAATAACTTCAGACATAATACTAGGAATACCCTAAAAGCATAGCTTTGGGTTGTACAGATCCCGAGTGCAAAAGCACTTGTGCTGATATTTCAAGTTTCCTTGTTTGTCTTTAAAAAAGACCAACTCAGTTTATGAGCCTTTAGGGAGTTATGTTCCCCCAGAATTCACTGCAATGCTTCTCTTGGCAGGAAATGTCCCTTGCAGCAAACCCAGTCCCGGCCTGAAAATCCCTTCTGGAATGCATGAGCTGTTGGTGCTTTGGCCATGGGAAGTGGCTCTGTGATGTGCATGTCCTCCTGGAGCCAAGTCCCTAAACCACGGAGCAGATACTTCTACAGATGCAGAACCACACTCTGGATATGAACTAATGTGCTTGCAATAATGAACGGTATCACAACATTATATGTGTTTTATTGCATAGCCCTTAGCTGACTCTACACCATGATCCTATGTCTGGCACAACACCATGTTTTCACTAAGGCTGCCTGCTCAGTTCCTCTCTTAGTTTTTCCCACTGGTAAGCAAACCTGCAAGATGCATAGTTCCTGATGAGCATGGTAAAGAGAAAAAGGGAAATAAAGTTAATAATGTCTTAACTGGGGACACACATTACCCTTTCCTTTTTTCGGGGGACAGTTAAAAACTATATGATTTTATACATGCTGGGCATTTATAAAATAACCAAATATTGATTGCTTAACCTCAATTAACACACCTGTGAGAAAGGTGTTTATTTATCCAAGGTGTTATCATCTATAGAGTCCTGACTCCTAGATCCCCATTTCATGCAAACATCAAGTAGAAAGATGATGGCAAAGATGGAAGAAGTTGAAAGGACATTCAAATCAAGCATTCATTTTGTTGAACTATTATTTAGATGACTATATATACATTCAAAGTAGCAATGTAGATGCACAGTAAAGAGCAATACTAGCAGTAGAAGGCAGTTCTTGGGATCTTGCTGTGTAGACAAAAGCAGTGATACACTACAAAATATAAATGAGGTGCTAGATTTTTTTTTTATTCAATCAGATTATCTTGTGTGGGGAAAGAATATCAGAGAGTTAATCATAGCCTTTCCAGCACTCCAGTTTTCTCTTTGTTGCCCTAATCACCAGTAATTTTTCCCAGAACTGACTGGACACACTTGGAACGTGCCTGCCAGGCTGAGACCTTGCTCTGTTTTTGTCAACATACCTACAGCTGTGTCCTTTCCAATCATCCACAGCACCTTGGAAGCAAAAGCAAAGGAAGAATTCTCTCACATCTACCTTCTAGCAAAGGAAAGCATCTGTTACTGTGGTTGTGTACACACAGGAACAAATCACCAGACTCTGTCCTCAAACTCCTCCCAGCTGCAGTCAGCTTTTATCTTAAAGAGCTTTTGTGCTGCAACCTTGTCTATGTGTTGGGCAGTGTCTTCTCTACCCTGTCCTAGGCACAGATGTCTCACCCACAGTCAGGCAGCTGCTTCTCAACACAGAGAGCAGCATTGCAATTAGATACTAGACTGCCACAGTGTGATCCATCAAAATCTGAACCTTGTAAGATGAGCCCTAATAAGCCATGTGGAAGTTTGTCACTGGGTCTTCCACACATGCTTCACTAACCATGAGCTCATGCAAATGAACACAAGTATGTCACTTTTAAACTTTAAAGCAAAGAGCCACATAAACACAATTCTCAGCAAGACATTTTTGCAATGACATTTGTATTTGATCCTCTGAGGGAGGCAACAGGACAAACGAGGCTGTAAGGATTCTAAAGGACATTAGACTGGCTTTGAAACAGACTGTTGGGATCTCATCCCAGTGATTTAATGGAAACCTCAAGCTGCTGTTATCCCACTGAAGTAAGAACTTTTTGTAGTAGTGAAGTGTAAGAATAAACTACATTTCCAATATATGCAAGTTTCCTTCAGGCAGGCATCCCTTTTTATAGTATCAAAAAACCCCCAAATCCTAAAGCCAAACCACGAAACCAACAAAACGTTGAAATGTGACAAGACCTATTTAATTCATACTTTTACTTATCATCAAATTTAGAAGTTAGGAAGGGAAGCTATCTTGAGATCCTATTTTGCCCCAAGGTACCAATTTTATCATTCTAAAAAATCCAACACTTCACATAATCCCTATGCAAGATGACAAACATTTACTATCTGTAAGACATTTAAACATCCTAGTGGAGCTCTAACCTGCCCAGCCTGACCTTAGATGCTGCTATTTTACCCCTTCTGTCAAAGGACTCAAAGCAGTCAATTCTTCAAGCTTTCCATTAGAAACATTTTTAAAATGTGTGCAAGACCCACACTTGTAAAACTGTGGTGGTCAAACTTTTTTCTTTTTTTTAAAATCGTCAAACACAGGCAGATCAGCTATACACACCCCAGCTGAAGAAAGGAATTGTCCTTTTCCCAGTTTCTTATGAAATGGTTCTCAGATTCTGATCTGGGATAAGTCCTCCTTACACACAGCAAATCAGAACAGATTTGAACAACACCTTCAAATCTGTGGCTCAACATGCTGTGTTTGCATGGGAGCTGTAGTAAAAGCATGTGCTGGTTTTTTAGAGAGTATTTTTGCAGTTTTGTTTAGCTCAGCTTAAGAAAAAGTACAAAGGTCCTTAAAATGCAATGTAGCACTGGTACTATTAAACCAAGAACAAAAACCTCAGTAGGTAGGTGTACAGCAGCAGAAGCAGAGAGGCCAGAGCTCGGCTTGGAAAGCAGGAAAAGGAGGAGCTGCATTACAGAGCAGGTACCAGAGCCTCTCCAAACACCACTTGCAGAAAAAGCCTCAAGACAGACAATGCCAAGACCATGAACAGTCTTTACTTCTATTAGTTGTTTCACAGCACAATGAGACACAGCACAGAGTTTGTACAGCGGGATCTGCAGACAGTTTAAAAACAGGCAATTATCTTTCATAAAAAGCATTGAGTCTGGATGAAAAGAATATGAAGACAAACAATACTGAAGCTAATGATCACCTTGCTTGCTTTTGATTGTCTAAGAAGTCCAAGACTTCTCATAGTGCCTTCACAGTGTTCTCCACATCACCTTCTCCAAACACCCTAGTTAGTGTAAACCTTGATGTGCCCCAGTTCGTATGTGCTGTAGTTTCATAACCTTTTTCTGTTGCTCTCAAGCTCTGCTTGCAGTGTGTGGGGAGGTGCAACAACTCTCATCATACAACATTCTGATTCACAAAGAAGCAGCACAAGTGTTGTACATAATTTAATTTGCACTTCTGTATATAAATGTTTACTATATTGCACACTATTGCAGCACTTAAAAACATCTAATTATTTGCAAAAATTAGTAAAATACTTTAAAGGATTTAAAAATAAGGGTTTTAATGCAACTGACAAGATAATAAAAAAAGCAATTTACTTAATGAGATACAATCCTTTATGTTGGAAATGAAAGTTACATACAACTAGAGTACAATTAAAATATACCATATAGTTCAACACTTAATTCCTCAAATGTGTAAAATTAACAAGCTTCTACTGTCATAGATATACAATTTTTCCATATTGTGAAAAGGAGTTCTCAAATTAAATACAGGTAACATAATATTCTGTAGTTATATTTCATGACTGTGTTTAAATGAGAGGGTTGTATAATACTCACATTGTCAAATGTACTCACTAATGCCTTGGAAATTGCACACTTCCCCTCATTTTCCAAAATAGAATCTCATTTCCATACTGAAGTCTATTATGCCATATTGGAAAAGTGTTTTACTTTGTAACAGGATTTTCAGAAAATTAAAAAATAGCATAATATCATGGCATTATGATGACTTTTCCACTTATGCCCATATAGAATTTAATCTGGATATCAGACAGACACGTCAGAACCAATTTCCTAGACTTTTACCTTATTGTACACGCAAGATGAATGATTACAGTATTTTACAAAACAGAGATCTCTGAACCTTTCTAGAATTATAAATGTAATGATTAAAAATTAAAATCATAACAGAATCAAATTGTGATCTCCAACATTTATTAAAATCTTTTAAAGTTCATAAACGACAATAAAGTTACTGTAGAATTTATCGCATACAGCTAGCATACAGCAGCATGTCCTTGGTCTAAATGAAATACAAAAGATTTTAACATTTTCATACAAAGGATTTCTTTAAATTTATTCATGTGACGATATATCTTTGTTACATAAAATTTGCTACAGCAAAGTATCTTATACTTTTCTTGCACGTATGTAAATATGGGTGGACAAAGACTGCATTCAGTGTCAGCCTCCTAATGACGTTGTGCAAAAATGCTCAACAACCTAAACATACAGAACATTGGGTGGTACGTTTCATACTCTTCTGTAAAATGTCTACAAAGGCTTTTCCTTCAGGAGTGTTGTACAGATTAAAAGGAAGGAATGCCAGATGTTTCTCTGCACTGGCATTCAAACAAATACAATGGCTATGTACCAATATAGCTCAGGTTTTTAAAAAACAATTCATCCTTGTATGCATGTAAATTTATCATAAAATATGAGTCTAGTTTAAACTGTTTAGATGTGCTGTTTTAAGACAGGTCACTGAGACAGCCAGAACCAAGTGTACAAATAAAACTACTATGAATAAGTTTAAAAGCAACCCCCAAAAAAGTGCTGAGCCGCTGATTATTAACATTGAAATAAATGTGTAAAAGTGCCCCAAGCTAGCACATGGTAGCAATATCTTTTAAGTCAGTTGGTGAGAGTATACAAAACATAATTAAACCCAAATACTTGTATCTGTGTGACCATACATTCTGATTGATTGAAAGAAAGTAGGTTAGAAATGAAGACACAATGCAACTAAAATAAACTCAGCTGTTGCAGTTTTTAAACTTTAACTCTTTTCTTCTTGAATGAAGTGCTGTAATTAAAAAGAAAATGATTGTAGCAGTACTCCATCCTCGGTTTACTAATATAGTATACCAGAATAAAAACTTGGCAATAACCTCTTATTCTTAACAACTAACAGAAAATAACCGTGTTCATCCAGCAATGCAGCTAGAACAAGATTTTGCATTTGCTAAACCATTTGTTTTTCATAGCTAATGGCAGAGCGCATTTTGCTTTTTGTGGCAGGGTGGTTCTTACTTTAATGGATGCCTTTCTGAAGCAAAAAAGGCTTCAAACAAAGAATACTTTGGGAGCCCAAACATTGGCTACTTTAAATAAAAAAAAAAAAGAAGAAAAAAAAAAGTGAATCAAAATGAATCATATTCTCTACAATACTGACCAAAACTTCCTTTAAGAGTTTAGGGTTCTAGATCTTAAAAAAAGCTATTTCATACCTGCCAACTGAAATGCTGGTAAGTTGACTTGATTGAACATTGTCCAAAATCCAGACCAGGTGGAATTACTCCCTCTCATGAGACTGTAAGCTTTCCATGGTACAGTCTGGTTATGGCAATTTACCTACTGCCTAGGTGGGAAGTATGAAGGAAGGAGGCAGCGACAAAAACCGCAGGGATGTAGAAAACCAAGGCACGGGGTCTAGCTACTGTCCCCTACTTAAGCCATCCAATTGATTCTACTCAATTTTGGTCAGCCTCCAGGAAGAAATGTTTTTAAGTTAATTTAGCAGACATTTATATGGCGATAAATACTACCTTCAAAAATGCTAAAAATGTTGGCTAGGTTTAGTCTGAGCTACTAAAAAATTATTATAAATTGTAGCATCAGACACAAGACAGACATGAATTATTGGCTGGCACAGACTAGAAGCAACATTTATCTTTCACTTCAGTCTAAATCACACTAGCCGCAACACCTTCCATTTCACTCACACAAATAATACATTATTCAAAATAAAATGGAGCATTCTTGGGTAAAAAACTACTTCATTTCAAAGGGGGAAAATGAACAATACACAGAAACAAAGAACGACAGAAACCAAAGTTAAGTAGGAAAGTGGTCTATTATTCTGTGTTACTGCACAAACAGTGCTTGCTTAATTGTGCCTAGTTAGAAGGGTTGGTGCAAAATGCACACATGGAAGATGGCAATAAAGACCTCAGTCAGCTTTGTGGAATGAAGTAACTAGGTAACTGTTTTGACATATGATGGTCTCAGCTCCACCTCATCTGTTAACAGAGTGCAAAGATCCCAATGTGAGCCCTGATGTCATCTTGTCCTCTTACTCCTACTAAAAATCAGCAAATTCTTTTGCACATTTTTCTGTTAGAGACGCACGAATATCTTCTTCTTCATAGTCATCGAAGTTGCTGGTATCTCCAGGACCTCTGCACTTTGGTATGAATGGAGCTTCTACCTGCATTGGTGGGAGACACAAAAAAGCATGTGAAATGTTACTGGCCTAATACCAGTATATTTACCACTGCAATGACCACAGCAATACTCCCATTACTCCACAAATCCTGCCAAGAAATCAGATATTATGGGTTGAAGTTGTGGCACGTAAGTAAAACCAGTCTAAGAAGGTACAGGCCTAGATGTGTGAATCTAAGTTGAAAAAGACTAGTATCTCGCTGACCAACATCAATTCAAAATTACTTCCACTTCAAAAGGAAGTTTAGTCCACTCCTTGCAGAGGTGATCCTACTCCCCTGAGCTGATCAGCTGTGGTGCAGCTCCCAGCACAGTGAGGGCTGCACAGAGCAGCCACACAGTCACAGTGGAAGAGAAGTAGAATGATTGTCACCAACACTACAC